AAAATAAAATTTGTAAGCAAACAACCGTATTACTGGATACACGTAAATAACTGTGTAATACTTGTTTTGGTAACAAAAATATAATGTGTGCTATGTCAACACCACTTGATGATTAACCCGTTCACAACAAAAATCTCTATTCTATATATGGACTTCTGGTTACCCCAGTATAATACACGGGTGGGGTGGCTTTGAGTGTGCCAGATTAAATGGCAAGGACTTAGGTGCCTTCGATGCTCACTAGAGCCTCTTGTGAGTAGATAAAGAAGATGTTTTCACTTTAATTTGAGATTAATGGCGTTGTGTGTGAGTCACAATATCTATTAGCATTAATGCCAGATTAAATGGGCAGACCTTAAGCGTCTTATATGAAATTAGTGCTTCGATAAACTAATAATTAGGACTATATTTCGGCTATAGTTGAGGGGGAGGTTATTTCTCTATCAAAGCTTGTGTGGCTTGTTTTTATTTCTTCTGTTGCTTATGTGGTTGTTGTATTATTGGGTGCTTCCTATTATGGTGATTGGGTGTTTTCCTTAGGTATTTTTGAATACATGTTTGATGTGTTAGAGGTGGAGTGGACGATCAGAGTTTGTAGTGTTATGTGCTTGTTGGTGTTGTGTTTTTGTGGAATTCTAAGTCTTTTTTTTGCGATCACTATTTCTTTAGTCGAACAGTCTTGTGGTATTTTATTGTTTTTTTCTTGTTTATTATGTGCGGCTTGGTGTTAAGACATAGGTTTTTATTTTCTTTGTTGATGTGGGAGTATTTGGGTGTAGTTAGTTATCTGTTGATTCTGTATTATTCAAACACTGATAGATTGCGTGGTTGGTTTCTCGTGTTGGTGATGTTGGTTTTTTTTTCTTAGTTGGCTACGGTTTTATGTGCAAAAAATTTAGTGGTTGGGTTTTATGCCTATCTATTGTGGTAATTGTGTTGACTAGGAGGGCCGCGTTTCCATTTGTTTCGTGGTTGTTAGAGGCGATGCGTGCACCAACGCCAGTTAGTGCTTTGGTGCACTCTTCTACCCTGGTTGCAGCAGGCATGGGGTTTGTGTGTTGTTACGGGTGGTTTTTTGATGGGGTGGAGGTGGCTAGTGATATAATTGTGGTTTCTTGCTTTGTTACTATTTTTATTACTGGTTTTTGTGATCTAAAGAAGTTAGTGGCACTCTCAACAAGAAAAAAATATCGTGGTGTCTGCTATTTTTTTCCTTGGGCAGGCCAACCCTGGGATTGATTCAGTTGTTGTGTCACAGTATTGCTAAGCATGGTCTTTTTATTGTGGTTGGTGATATTATGAGTAGAGGAGGTGGCAGACAAAAATATATAAAATTTTATTGTCGTAAGACTTTGTGGGAGGTTTGTTCTTTATTATTTTATTGTATTTAGGTTGTGTGACCTACCCTTTATCGGTGTTTTTTTTCAAAGCATCTGTATTTTTCCATGGTGTCTTGATATAATATTTTGTTTTTTGGTTGTGTGTTTACTAGGGCTGGTTTTGAGATTTTGTTACTCTGTTCGTTTATTTCTGTTGTGTGTGGTGGGCAGGTCAGGTTATATAATGAGGTTTGATAAAAATTTTTTTTGTTATTTTAAATATTCCGATGTTTAGTAATATAAGTTTGTTTTTGGGAGATTTGGTTGTTGATTCTCGTAAGCTGGATTTGTGGATTAGTGGTTGTTTGTTGTTTTGCTCGACTATAGGTGTTTTTTGGGTGTAGCGGTCTCTTATGCCTCTTCTGTGTTGCGTGGATTGAGTGCTTGGTTTGATGGGAATGGATTTGTGTATATATTTGTTTAAATGTTTTTATGGCTGAATTCGTAAAATTGGGTTGGTTTGTCATTATCGCTGGGACTCCACACTAGTGTCTTGTGTTTTTTTTAGAGATAGCTGTTATTTTTATTGTTTTAGTGTTAATTGTTTTCTCATCTTAGTATATTATAAATTATATCTATTTTGTTGGTCAATTTATAGAGGGTTTGTTAGTTTGGGATATTTCATTTAGGGGTATTTTTATTTTTATTTTTTTCTGTGTTTTATTTCTTTTATGAGATATTTATGTGTTTTTTATTGACATATGTTTCACACAAGATGTTGCTATCACTAATAAGTGACATGTATCGTGTGTTGTCTGTAAAGATTTTTAGTAGGTAGATGACGAATTCCTCCACCAGTGCCTGTATAGTGCCTGTGAGGGCTGAGCTGATGCATTTTCGAGGTGAATCCAGAGTTTCCTGAAAATAAATCCCTAAAACGTCCAATGTAAGGAATGGCATCACGAAAATGTTTGAATGGAGCACATGTGATTATGCCCCACCAACTGGCTTGGCGCACCTTCTAATAAAAAAGTGATTTTTGAGATCCTTCATTTAGTTGGATCGACACAACTCTCCGTTTCGAAGAAACAGTTGCTCGGAAAGAATTCGTATATCAGCCTTACTGAAAATCTCAGAATAATTCCCCAGGAGGGATACCATTGGATTATATAAAAAAATACTTGGCCCATCGTCTTGCGACTTCGAAGACTTTCGTCTGTACTATGGCATACATCGTCAGAACAAGCAATTATTCGCTAAGAATTGACGCTCCAAGATACCAGACCAAGAGAAAAGGTGTGGTCGTTTGTAGAGTGTTTGATTTCTTGCTCTGAAGATGTCTGTCAAGATGGTGAAAACGTAAGCTCATCACAGATTTATCGGGGTCGCATGACCCCTTTACACAATCCAACCACTCAACTTTAACACCAACTTTTGTTGAAATGGAAAGTCGAAAAGAACCTTCGCTTTTTTCTGATCTTACGAATCGGAGATACATCTCGAATCCGCCAGTGAGTCACACTTCATCTCATGTCCCAAATGACCATCTAATCATGCTTTTTCTTTGAGACAAGACTTTCCATTTCCAACAAAAAGTTGGTTGGAAGGAACTTGTGAAATGGTCTCACTGTTGTATTGCGCCAAACAAGTCCTTGGCTCTCCTGCCTGTGACTCCGTTGAACCTGTGCTAAGCTTTCGTCTGTATTGTGAATTGCATCGTCAGAGGAAGAATCTATCCTTTACGAAATAGAACAAAAACATACTAAAGCAAGAGAAAAGGTGACCGGCTGCAATCCTAGTCACTGTTTTATACTTCATTAAAACACAAAATAAGGTGTACATTCAAATGTGACTAGTTTTGCAGCCGGACACCTTTCCTCTTGGTTTAGCATAGCTTTTCTTATTTCGTAAAAACAGACGAAAGCTTGGCACACGGCAATTGGAGGGTAGAAGTATTTTGAGCCAAGAACTTCTTCGTCCAATACAATAGTCTACATTCCGCGGCGATCCTTCTTTGGTTTCAGGTGAGACCATTTCATGAATTGCTTACAACCAACTTTTCCTTCAAAGTGAAAAGTCATGCCTCAATGAACCATTAAGGTCTTACTCAAACCCTCTTTTTCTTCATGTCTTTTTTTATTGTTTACTTACTTCCTATAATTGATGCAAAAATATTCTAAACATTTTATTTTTTCTTTATTCTGACTTAATTGGCTTTGAGTTAAAATTGCAAACTCTTCTCTACTTCATTCTTTTTTATATTGTCCCCAAAATGATATAAAAGCGGGAAAAACAATCCAGATTCCCGCCAATTTACCAAAGTGTATCAAGGTGATCAGTTTCATAGTCTATGGGCTAAATGTAACTGATATCCGACCTGGTCGAAAGAGAATCTATCGTAAATACTTGTGTATGAAAAAAACTATGTGCAAGAGAAAAAGGTGTATGGACTTAGACTTCCCTGTCACGAGATGGCCTTGGTCCTGTGTAAAAAGCCTTTCAGATAACACAATTCTTCCTCCATTTAATGCAAGGTGCGAATATCGGCTTCTGATTGGTGCTGGGCGGTTGGGCAAGCTTGATGTGATT